ATCAAATGAGCTTAACTTTATGGCCCACTTTGTCATTCTTCCTGAAAGATCTGGTTTGTGCAGGATTATTCTGATAGGGAAAGTGGTTAGAACGATGATAGGATGGGATTCAAAATAATGCCTGAGCTTTCTTTTCGCATGCACTAGCGAGAGTATCACCCGCTCTGCCTTTGAATAACGTCTTTCGGCCTCAGTCATTGTTTTGCTAACATAGAACACTGGATATTGCTTCTTTTCTACATAGCGGATCAGAACACCACTTGTCGCAATGCAGGATACTCCGAGATATAAAAACAGCTTTTTGCCCGATTCTGGAGCTGACAGTACCGGAAGGTTCTACATATACTTTTTCAGAGCAGTTAACGCTAGGCGCTGTTCATCCCCCTAAACCTGCCTGTCGTGGCTTCGTATTGTGTCAAAAAATGGTTTGTATCGATCTGACAGTTTGGAAATGAACCGGCTCAGTGCAGCAATCCGTCCCATAAGTGTTTGCACTTCTTTGACTGTCGTCGGCTCGGCATTCTTAGTCAGAGCATCTGCTTGGGCAGGGCTTGCCTCGATGCCTCTGAGATTAACCACGTGCCCTAGGAATTGGCCTGAACTTACACCGAATGAGCACTTGGTCAGATTGAGCTTCATTCCATATCGCCTCAATACATCAAACACGTCTCGCAGATGCTTCACATGATCAGCTTTCTTCTTACTTTTTACCACCATGTCATCAATGTAAGCTTCCACTGTCTTCCCTATTTGTTCCTTAAAAATTTTGCTAATAAGTCTTTGGTAAGTTGCTCCGGCGTTCTTCAGTCCGAATGGCATAACTTTGTAGCAATACGTCCCGCGTTCGGTAACGAAAAAAGTTTTTTCTTCATCAGCGGGGTCCATGGGGATCTGATTATAACCTGAATAAGCATCTAAAAAGGTCAAGCATTCATATCCAGTAGTTGCATCCACCATCTGATCAATCTTTGGTAGCGGGAAGCTATCCTTCGAACAGGCTTTGTTTAAATTGGTAAAATCAATGCATACGCGCCATTTCCCATTTTTCTTCTGTACAATGACCACATTTGATAACCAGTCAGGGTAGTACACTTCTCTTACAAACCCCGCATCAAGCAGCTTGTCAACCTCCTCGGCAATAATTCGGTTGCGCTCGGGGGCAAACCGTCGCTGCTTCTGCTTTACAGGTTTTGCATTGGGGTTAACATTCAAGGAGTGACAAGATACAGAAGGATCGATCCCTGGCATGTCTAGGTGACTCCATGCAAACACATCTGCGTTTTGAGACAAAAAATCAACTAATTCCTGCTTTTCCTCCTCAACGAGTTGTTCCCCCACTCTGGTTGTCCGTTCCGGTCGGAACTGATCGATCTGCACATCAAACAGGGGTTCTTCAGTCCAGCCTATTGGCTCCTCCTCCCCACTCTACTTGTCCCCACTCTGCTTGGAGGGAGGCTCCTGTAATTGCTATCTCGGACTTGCTGAACGAATGGAAGCTTTCCCTTTTCCGGCATGTTTCAGTGTTACAGAATAACATTCTTTAGCTGCAACCTGGTCTCCATGAATATCAATCACTTTGGTTCCGTTTGGCCCCAGGCATCTCATTACCTGATGCAGAGTGGAAGGAACACCTTGAACTCTGTGGATCCATCCTCTGCCCATCAGAAGATTGTAAGAGGGATGAATTTCAACAACCACAAAGGTTTCCATCAAAACCCTCTCAGCAGCATGCACCGCTACCTCCACCGTACCGACGGGCTCCACTCGCTTTCCATCAAACCCTAGTAGTGGATTCCCGGTGGATTTCAGCCGATCCTGTTTGATCTTGAGCCGATCGAATGTATCTCTTGGCATGATGTTCGCACTACTTCCAGGATCAATTAGAACTCTGCGCACCAAGCATTTGGCCACTGTCAAACTTACGAACAGCGGGTCCTCATGAGGGATCTGAACACGCAACAAGTCTGTTATGTCAAACTTTATCTGCGTTGATGCGCTCTGTTGGTGCAGAGTGTTTACACTGCCTATCCTTCTCTTCATCCGTGCCTGGCGAAGGCGTGTTCGGAGCAGTTCATCTGACTCCTCGGCAGGTTCTGGCCGACCGTGAATTGTATTGATTACTCGAACTGGTTGCGTGTTGTGAGAATTCGACTTCTGATTCTTCTTCACGTGCTCCATTGGTCGGTTCTATTCCACCGCTGGTCTTTGAATATAACTTGCGAACTCCCATCTGGCTATCAGCATCTCTACCTGTCTCCTTAGGTTCCTGCATTCGTTAGTCTGGTGGCCAAAATCAGAATGAAATGCACAGTGCTTAGACTGATCCCTCTGTTCGAGAGGTTGCCTGATTGGTAAAGGAGGTCGGAACTTATCTTTATTTTCTTGGTACAGTCTTGCTAGGGTAACTTTCAATGGAGTAACCAGCTCTTCCTCTCTGGGCCTCTTCTCAGATTTCCACGAGGAGTGTTGCGGCTGAACCTGTTTTTGCCTAATCTTTGCTTTGGTCTTTTCTTCCGTGGATATGACGGATGTCTTCCTAGCGTTTGCCGCCTTTTCTTCTTCCAAGCGCACAAATCCATCGGCTCTTTCGTTAAGTTCATCCATAGTCTTCGGCGTGTTCACCACCAAGCTTGTGTGGAATGGGGTGCCACGGTTCATGGCCAGTATGAATGCTTGAACTGCCGTTGAAGGGTGACATTCAATTACCATGCTCTTGGTAAGGTTAAACCTAGTTAGGAAAGCCTGGAGACGCTCATTAGCATGTTGCTTCATTGTGAATAGGCTCGAAATATCTTTCGCTGGACGCTTGTTTCCATAGTATTGGCTTATGAACCGATCACACAAGCTTCGGAAACTATCCACTGAACCCCTCGGCAGGTTCTTAAACCAATTCAGAGCTGGTCTGGCTAGACTCGTAGGAAAGCACTTGCATATCAAAGAGTCATTCTCAGTGTTTAGAGCCATTTTCAACTGGATGTGATACACGTGATCGATCGAATCGGTCGTTCCGTCGAACAGAATGAAAGGGGTATGGAAAATTTCCTCAGACTCGGAGCATTCAGAATCTCATCTGTGAACGGTGAATCAACCGTTCGAGCTGCTGAACGGAGTGCTTCATTTTCCCTCTGGAACCCTGCGGTTGCTCTCTGGTCTATCGATCTCCTCTCTGAGCTGTGATAGTCAAACGTCGTCATGGAAGGCCGATAGGTCGGATCGAATGACCTGTCCTCAACAAAGTCTTTGCGCCATGGAGGCATAGCTTTGTGACGATTCAACTCTGTTGCTTCACCTCGGCTGAGCGTTTCTTGATGTGGATCAAAAGTCATTGCTTCGTTTCACCTGATCTGCTCACGCCGTGGATCTATGTGAGTTGATCCTTCACGATCATCAATACGACGAAGATTTGGCGACAAACCGTCTCGGCGGATTTCCTTGCGGTAAGGATCCACTAGATTGTTTCCAACCTCCTCACCGTGATGTGCTGCATCGGTACGTGCACCTTCTTCTCCTACCGGGAGTGGTCGTGGAATTACTGGAGCTTCTTGACGTTGCATTTCAGTCCTTAGATCCGCATTTTCTTTCCGGAGAGCTTCGATCATGTTCATCAACTCATCAAGTTTCACTTGCTAGACGTTCTCAACCATATTGGAGTTGTCACCCCCTATCATGATTCCGGATCGAGGCAAAGGCATGAATTATGAACTCCGAAACAGATCTAAGCGTCACCGATGCAAACTCCGTTAGATCTGGGCTTAACTTCACCGAATCGTGATCACTGTTTGCTAGATCTGAACTTTTCTAGCTTTGAACTCACCGGATCTGATTGCAATTGAGCATCACAATTGTGTCATTCCGAAGCAAATGCCTTAGAATCCACAATAAGCAAGAATTCTCTCTGAACAAACTACAATCTCACTGATCTGGATTCAACTTTCAGAAATCACACTGTGTACTCACAAACTCGATTGAACTAATATGGTACTGATCGGGCTCGAATTGATCTTCTTCCTCGATTCCCACAGACGGCGCCAATTAAAGATGCAAGAATTCGTTTCTTCTTTCTCCCTCTCTAGAATTCTTCCAAAAAATTCCCCTTTTCTTATCCACCTGTAATGGTCTATTTATAGACCATTACAATTATTATTGTTAACTGATTACATTGAGCCTATATTCAAAAGTTTTCTTCCTTCTGGGCCTGATCTCCCAATGGGCTTGATCTTCCTCGGTAGATCCTCCAGGTTCGGTCCATTCCGGAGTGCTTTGGCATGGGCCCTACTTCAATTGTTCGACCCGATCCCGTTCCAGCGAACTATATCCGGCCCATGCCACTTGCTGCATCCTCAGTTGTTAATAAAGAAAATGTAAAATCATCACTTAAAAAAATAATTTCTAAGTTTTAATTTAATATTACATAATAAAGTCAAATTTATCGTTTCATAGTTCAATTAATGGATTGGTCACGAATTTAGAGGTAAAATAATGAGTTTTGTTAGTTGAGGGATCTATTTAATGGAGTATTTTTGCACCAATATGATAGTAGACGTGAGTTTTGTGATTTTATTCCTAAAAAAACCGGATGTGTCCGACTCTCATGCGTGTTTGGGTAACTGACATGAGTCACTTTTTGTGGGGGAGGCAACCAAAGGTCCTCCAATAGATGGGGAAACCTGAAAGAAGATATTCTTGCAACAATTAGGACTAAAGGGCTACCCGACTGCGAGACTTGTGTAGTATTAGCTTTGCATAGAGAGGTTGCCTTCGTGATTTTTAATCAAGCAACCTTACTATTAAAGTTAGGTATTACATAAATATATATATAATATATATAGAGAGAGAGAAAAATTATTAAGGTATAATAAATTAATGTCAGCAATTGAGAAACTCAACAAGTAAAACATGATAAGTCCATTTAAGAAAACCGTTGGGAAATGGTTTTAAAGCAGTCCCAACTAACTCCAAATCTAAATAATCTCATACACATATATATATATATGTATGTGTATATATATATATCCCTGCAAAAGCCATAACCAGTACAATTAATTCCCCCAACTATTTGTCATCTCTCCCTTGTCCTCCACTTTTGTAGTACTTTAAAATACTGTTACTATTACTGATCTAGGTATACATCCATGGCCAACGACGCCGCTTTGAGATCATCCCTGGTTTGGCTGGCTTTGGTACTAGTCTTAATAGGACTCTACACACAATCTTGGAAGAAGATGTTAGGGACTTACCTGTTTGGCATCTGTGGAATTGCTGGTGTGTTGCTGCCCGATTGGGAGTACTTCGACCGCCCCGTCTCTCAGTGGTGCACTCCCCTCTCTCTTTCTGCGCAGGACATTCGCATGGCCTCTCTGTCTCATGATCACACACCTTCAAGGTCGTCGTCATCATCTTTTCCTATATTCCCACTCATTTATTGAATTAATTTTGCTGATTTGCAAGCTTTTTGCTATGTTCGGTTGCATGTAACTGGCGTCTGCCTTTGAAATGATTTTTTTTCTGATTTTAATTTCAAAACATCAATTTCATGCAAGGAAACAAATTGTTTTTTAGTTATAGGCCGCTGAAAATCTTTTTTATGTATAAAGATTTATTTGATTGTAGCATGGAATATATTAATCCACCTCACGAGATTGATTACTTAAAAAAAAAAACCCTCTGTTTTGCAAATACCTTGGTGGTGCTACTAATCACCTTGACTATTTGAAAGTTGCTACTTACTCCCAACCCGAACTGTGATTCGAAATATGAATAATTCATTTATATTACAAGTTGATTTAAGGAGGTAATTACGAAACGAACCACACAAGTAGTCAGGTTAATGATATTACTCTCCTCTTTGACTAATCTCAATCATAACAGAACATAAATGTATGAAGAATCATCGTGTAATTGGTTTATCAATTTAATTGTATATCACCTATGCATATAAGACGTGATCCTCTACTCATATAAATATAATTGATACGTGTGACTTTGATCTTTCCGTCACAGCTGTTTAATAATTCTCCCTTAAATGCAGGTTTAGGTTCTACCCTGCCAGACTGGTTATTTACACTGTAATTTATGGTTTTGCTCTGTACAAGTGGTGGATGTTCATATCAAGCTAGTGGACTTGCTTTTCATATGTATGACCGCTTGCAATTTATGAGATTTTTGGGTAATAGATAGACTAATCAATTGTAAGTTCAGTGCTTCTTAATGAAGTTGTGTGGAGTTTGCAGGACCTTGGGATCTCTGCATACAAATGGCTGAGACATTTTTCATTATTTGTAGCATTCCAAATATTGTTGCACTCCATTTTCCTAGAAAGGACGAAACATGTGTACCATATGAAATTTATTTGTATACGGGTGAATAGGACATATACTGATATTAGTACCATGTCAATAGACATCCTTGGAAGTGATGCATTTAACCCTGAATGTAAATAGGACATCCTTGAAAGTGACACATTTAACCCCAAATTACCACCAAATATGTCTATTTATATATCTATATCTATATACCATATAAAAATGTATACAATTTAAAATATTTATATATCTATATCTATATACTTATTTTCGTTAAAAGAAAAACTAAGTGACATTCCGTTAACACTTCTTTAAACCATCGCGCTTCTTTTTACGATAATTTTCAAAAGACATCAATAGTTAAGATATCTCTTGTCAAGAGTTGTCTATTGTCTATAAATATTTAGAGAGTCCTATATTTTAAGATTTCACAAGAAGAAAAAAAGAAATAGTCGATTTTCTTTTCTTTCTGCAAAAATGTTATTCTATTCTCAAGTCTACTGCCTATAGAATTTTTTCTCATTTACTATACTTTTTAATATAATACTAATTAGTTTTTTAGGTGATAAAAGTTGCTGGTAGAATTGTTGAAGTCATGAGATTTGGGTGCTGCCCAACTCTTCCTTTCAAATGATCCCCAAGTTCTTCTCTTTTTTCTTACTTTCCTTTACATTGTTCTGTCCAATTTTAATATAAGAAATAGTAAATTTATGTTAAAATAATTTTACAAAATTATATACGTTAATTAATACGGTTTTTAGCCTTTAAGATGTTTTTGTCTATATATGGCTACATAATCCCATATTTTAATATTTTTGTTGGGGGTGGGGGTGGGGGTGAATAAAAAAGACTCTGCAAAAATATTATTTTATTTTCAAGTCTATACATTAACACGGTAATTTTTTCAGCTGTTAAAATTTTAAAAAAACAAAAAAGACTGCAAAAATATTATTCTATTTTCAAGTCTACCACCTAAACAATTCTTTCTCAGCTGATATATTTCTTTATATAATAATTAGTTTTGTAGGTAATAAAAGTGTTATGGATATTTTAATAAAAATATAAATAGTAATTAATATAATTATTTATTATATTTATAATGATGATTATTATTACATAAGTTAAATGATATTTATAAGGGGTATTATTTTAGACATTATTTGTATTATTATATACCTTAAACGTTACATCTTTAATCTCTATATATATACATAGTATATAAAGTATCATAGGGAGATTTGATGGAGAAGGTAATTTTGCAGAGTGATATTTTCGTGTACAAGGCTGTGAGCCCATTACGAAACTATCACCTATCCATTTTTCATTCCTTAAGAATATTTTTACCTATTGAGTTTGTGAGCAACAACACTTTCCAAAATTCTAAAAACTATTTTTGTTTTAGACCAAAACTTCAAAATCAAATTTTCGCAAGGAAAATTTATACAATTTTTAAATCTTTTGTAACATGTATGTAAAAGGGATAACTATGACTTTAGATAAGAAGTGGTGGGGTGAAAAAAAAAATTAAAAATAAAAATAAAAATGAGGAGAAAGAAAGAGAAATCCAAGAGTTGGGTTATGAAAAAATAAATAAATAAAAAAGACCAAGAGTCTTCTTATGACATAGTCCTATATATATCGAGGGGGATGGGCCTAAGTCCTGAGGTAACACAACCTTCTGATTGGCGATTTAATCACATGACGAAAGGTTCAATGGGTAGAAACAATATGCACTGCGTGACTCATTGACAACACTCTTTTTAGGAGGTTTCTTGAGGAGATTCTTTCCTGCACATCCCTATGGCATCTGTGTTATGATGTGACGTTAAAGAAGGGCTTTGCCCTAAATAAATTCGAGGAGAGCATACTCTCGCAAGGTATAGGTCACATATACCCTTGGAAGATTCACCTAAGTGAAAGTCGTCGACAGGCTACAATCGTGGGAGTTGGGCTATTCCCTAGAGCTTTTATGAGAATCAAGATACCAGCGCATGGCCATTAATCGCACAATGTGACGACCCTGGTTTTTCAAACCAGTGCGTCATGTGATGATCCGAAGATTGACCCGATAGCGGATCCAGATACGGAAACAAGAAATAAGACAACGGTCTCCCAAGGCATAACACACCTCTAAGACACTTTTATGACCTTCCATGAGGTCGTGGAACTCAATGAGAACTGACGCGGAAGCAAAAGATTGGGTAAAAAATAATTTAGCCCCTAGGGGCAAAATAGTCATTTTACATGAAAATGACGTCCCTAGAATGCATATCATTCCCGAGACACATCCGTGACTTCCCATAAAGTCACGGAACTCAAAAGAATGTAGCAGAAGCGGAAAGCAAGAAAAATCGGACAAAAATAGCCGCAAGGGCAAAATAGTCATTTTTGAAAATATGGATTCGGGAGCCATCGAGCACACCGCTAGAAAGACAACGAAAAACTAATCAAGATGGATTCAAGAATCGCATGATTCGGAGTCCGGACGAAACAAAAAAGGCATAACGAAGAAAAATGAGCACTTAAGGCTAAAAGGGTAAACTGGTAATTATCCAAGAAGATCTAGGTCTAACTGAGCACACCGTTGGAAAGACAGCAAAAAATTAGTCAAATTCAAAAAAAAGTTCACTCGATTTGGAGTTTGGACGAAAGAGAACGAGCGAAAACAAAAATCGACGTCACGACGTCGAGACGGGGCCTCACGAGTATCCCACGAGCATCCTGACAAGCACCATGACATGTTAGGGGTAAAAAAAAGATTCAGCCAAAACTGAAAGCCGAAACGAGGTTCGAAACGAATTTTTCTAGAAAAACACGAAGAAGAAACCCCTCCCTAAAATTGAGTTTTCTACCCAACCATACGAAAGGAAACAAAAAAAACTCACTAAGAAATTCCCAAAATGCCCCTAGATCAGAAGAGGTCAAGAGGGCCCAAAAAGATGCTACAGTAACTGTCCACATCTGAGATCAAAAACGGGTTATCAAACGAATTTTTCTAGAAAAACACGAAGAAGAAACCCCTCCCGAAATCAAATTTTTTACCCAGCATCGTGGGAGAAAATGAAAAAAAACACACTGTGAAATGGCCAAAATGCTCCTAGATCAGAAAAGAGTTAAAAACTCAAAAAATGCAACTTTGCACCAAGTATGCATTTGACCCTAAATGCATTTTAAGGTTGAAACGAATGTGCATGCAAGTGTAATAAATGATTCTAAGCGCGCGAGAATGGTCCGCGGCTCCCTAGAAGCCCCGACTCAAAATCCGACCCCCCGACGGCCAAAAATGATAAAAATGAACTTGGAATCGGAATTTTGAAAACAAAAAATGTGAAATGGTATCAAATTACCGTTCAGCGCTTGGCCACACTTCATACATGATTAATGAGACCCTATGGAAGAAAAAGAATGGAATTCCCACACCCAATGTAAACATGGTGAAGCAATGACTTGCGATTTTTTAATATTTCATAATATTCATTGAAGTCAAGAATTACATAAGATGCAATATAAATATCATTGGCCTCCGGGCTTTCTCATACAAGTCAAATACATCGTAAAAGGTGTACTTATGTACACATTACATATATGAAATCAAAGATACAAGTTTTGACATATAAGGCTACAAAATGACATTTCAAGTTAACATTTGCATGAAATGGAAAATTAAAAATTACAAGTCATCCAAGGAATGATGAGCATCACAAACCAAGTCTTCGTACCTAAAAAATGCCCGGGTAACTTTAGGGTGAGTAACATAAAGTTACTCGTAGGAGATGACTATACATTGACCTAGCATTTTACAAATTTATCACCTTAAGGTGAAACATGTTAAAGGGGCTCATGACACCTAACGTCTATGTCAAAATGAGACACAGGGAGCATCCTAAGCTACCTTAGAGTATTTATAACATAAACCACATCACTCATGCAATTTAAACAACATAGGAGCACATAATGTAACGCAACAAGACATAGGTATCCAAAGTTATCAACTTTTAACTTAGAATGCGATAACTACTGAAACGGTTCATGCCACCTAAAATCTAAGTCAAGATGCTTATATAGGATCATTCCTAAGTCATATCAACATGAAGCAACATCAATCACAATGTCTTTGAAATTGAACAAGGTTGGGATAATCCAAAGAGCACGACAAGTTTATAATTCAACATGAATCACATTATCAATGTAATTGAACAAGGTTTGGAATAATCTATACAACACGACAAGAAGGATACTTAGATAAAATGATCATATTATCAATGTAATTAACATGATTGGAATATTTCAATTTACAAGACAAGAATAATACATGAAATCAAGGATAAGGCATAATATCTATGCAATTAACAAGATTGGAGCATTTCACATAACACGGCAAGTTTTAAATCTTCAAGGAATAGCGACTTGAAATTTAAAGAATGAAATCAACCAATGTGGATACTCGGATATCGCCCGGATTAAAACCGTACTCTTGGGATCACTTTAAGGCTACTAACCTATGGGTACTGGTAGTCTATCACACTACCATCAAGCTTAGAGAGTGTGCATTAAGGCGAGGGCCAAGTTTTACAATTATAAAAACCACTACTACCTTTTACTATAAATATAGCTAGGGCGAGTAGGGATCGTCCCAAGGGATTGTGAGGGTCGAACAAGGTTATGGAATTGCTATTAGGGCTAGTAGGTCGAGTGATCAAACAATTGGTTGGTTGGTTGATTAAACTAGAGAACAACTAAATTAAACTAAGTAATAGCAAAAGAATACAACTAAAAGCAAATAAGAGAGAGAAGAGTCTTGGGGTTTAGAGATCACCACCAAGCAATGCATTTCTAAACCATTGACAAGTGACTAATAAGGGCAAATGGTGTGTTGCAATATTGGTGTATGTGTGTGATTAGTTGATTTAACAAACAAGGATGACTTGTTAAGCATGTATTGTCTAAACATCATGTGAAAGGCACAATATATCTAATCAATGAAGCATATATTGTCTAAACA